ATCAGGCGTACACTGAGAAGACCGGTTGGTGACATCACGCGCCAGGCCAGGCTCTCGAGTGGAATGCAAAGGGGGAAACGACGAGTTGGGCGTTTTGGCCGGGGGTGACATGGAGGAGATCGTGTGAAGAAAAAATGAAAGCTTCTGGGCAGTCGTGGAGCGAGATTCAAAAAACTGCAGAAGAGGGAGTGAAATGGCGACGTGCTACTGAAGCCGCATGTTTCACTAGGAACCCAAGGGACAAATAATAATCAGACGAAAATGTGATGGTACAGTTGCGTAAGCTATCCACAGGAAAGATATATGGATTGGTCAGTACCTTCACCGCAATAGTTTCTGTCTTGTTGGGTATAAGCGTGGTTCAGTCAGGACGCTATTCACCCGTAGAAAAACGATGTGCTCAAGAGACAAACTAGAAGAGATCTGAAAGAATAGACAAGAATAAAAGCTGCACTAAGAAGGAGCTTCTTTGCTGCCGAACTGAGCTCACTTCACAGTACAGTATGCTCAGTAATACAGTCAAAATTAAACAAATAACCAGTTCACATCACCCTCAACCGTGCATATCAATTCACCTATGCTTGTGGAATTAAGTACCTATGTAGGACCAAAGGAAGGGTGACTACACGGTTTTATCAGCATACTCCGAGAAATCTGTGTCTTAATGGTAGCAAGGTCTTTAAGAGAGGAAGCACGAGGCCCCTGGTGGAAAGAGGACAGCAAATAGATGTTTCTCAATCCTTCAGGATCAACAAGCAAAGAACGCTACATTTATTGCAGTTTGGGGAAGCTCTCGCCATCAAACATTTTCAACCTTATCTATATACTCAGAAAGAGACTTCAATTAAACTTTGTTTACCTTGGTAACTGTAAATGATTTTCCGCATATGGTTTTCCTTTTTCTTTTTTTTGATTGCATCATCTCTTCATTGATGACTCTTAATCACGCAATCTAACGTTTTTCAAGTTTTTCCATGTAATTACGTGACCTACCAGCTTGTTGACAACCTCCTTTGTTTACACTTCTGCCTGTTTAATGTCCTCTCCTTTCCACAGCTCGAGAATTTTCTATCTTATCAGATATAAATAAATTCCTATTGGTTTTGACTAAGAATTGTGATTATTAATCCTGTGTTTCTTTGATTCACTCACTCACTATCTAATTCCTGGGTTTCAAATCTCCAAATATCTCTGCATATTTGAACCATGTTATGCCATAATTGCTACTAATACTTCATTTCATTTGTAGGCTGTTTGCAGCTGATGAAAGGCAGTGAAATAAAATGAGCTCATTTTATTCTACAAATGTCTTTGTTTTTGTATTGTTCAAACTAACAATATGATTAGAACATTTATCAAGCATAATGTGTACATTAAAGTTGTTCATCGTAGGCCACCAGTATATAATCTTCCCTTTCCTATGACATCGTTTGTACAAACCACCCAGAAATTTCCACAAACTTGAAGATACAATTGTTTGATTCTGAGCGTAAACAGTAGTTAAACTAGATAGACTTGTATACAATTCATTGATAGACTTTTAAAAATTGTTTATGAGATGGTTTTCTCCCAGCCTATAATACTATAAGTTTCTAATACTTCACGTAAATACTTTTATGTCTATTGAACTAGGTCGGAACGTTTTACATAAGAACAGTGTGTCACCAATGTAATAAAATATTGTCATTTCAGTTAGGATTTCCGGAATTAAGCATGTTGAGAGAAGTTTTCTGTTCAAACTTATTTGCTAATCTAAAAAATGGTATCAACCTTCCACAGTCAGTCCTCACACAATACGTTTGCGTCCATAATATTACTGATAGTATTCCTATCCAGGATGTGTTCCACTTCTTTATGACTATTATTTAAGTGTCTAGCGTTTTCCACCAACACATCTGTCAAATCTTGTCTGTCTGCCATTATGTCCGTCTTCGTGCCCCAATAAGCTGTATTTGTAATACTACCCATTGTTTCTGTTCGATTGACGCCTCTGTATACCTTATGGGTCTTAATCACTACCTATTCCTGTTTGTCCCCTTGAATCTTAACCTTGATTCTGATTGTCCGTATTCACCTTTCTGACTTCCTGTGTGGACTGGTCTTAGTCATTTGGTTAGTCTGCTTGTTGGTGTAGTGAGCTCCCAATAATTGATTGTCCACCTTGTTCGTCATCTTTGTAATTATTATTATATTATTATTTTTCCCTTGGGTTCCTAATGGGACATAGGGTCTCAGTAGCACGTCTCCAGTGCATTCCGTCCTCTGCAGTCTTTTGGGCCTGGCTCCACGACAGCCCAGAAGCTCTTATTTCTTCCTCACACGACCTCCTCCATGTCATCCTCGGACCCCCAACTCGTTGTTTCCTATCTGGGTTCCACTCGAGCGCCTGGCCTTACGCGTCATGTTCCTAAATGGTCTTCTTAGTGCATGCCCAATCCATCTCTACTTCCTTCTGCATATGTGTTGAGCGATAGGTTCTTGGTTGGTTCGTTGTCAGGGTGAGGTCTTTCTTGCTTATTATTTATGGCCATCTGATTTTCAGTATCGAGTGAGCGTAGACGGCAGCTGTTGATGAATGTCTGTAGTTTGCTGGAAATGCCTTTCGTAACGCGCCAATTCTCTCAACCATCACGTAGAAGCACTGACTTAGTGTTGAAAATCCGGATCTTGTTCCACATGCTGAGTGCAGAAGCTCTCCACCATGGTTTCAACTTAATGAACGCCTATCTAGCTTTTCCGATCCTGGCTTTGACGCCCTCGTCTGTGCCGCTGCCTGTAGTTGAAACGATGCTGCCTAGATAGGTGGAGGCTACTTCCTTTAAGTTTCTCTCGTTGATGGTGATTGGAACTTGTTGTTGGTGGTGATGGTGTTGGTTGGGCATCTTCATCACCTCTGTCTTCTCTACGTTCATCTGAAGTCCCGTCTTCGCTGTCTCTTCTGTCAGCTTGTTGGATTTTGCCTGTACATCTTCAAGTTTGTGTGACATTAAACACAAGTCATCAGCGAAATCTAAATCTTCTAGGGTCTTCTCATCGGTCCAGCGTATCCCTCTCTTCTCGCTCCTCATAGTTTGTTGCATGATCCAGTCGACCACAATCAGAAAGATCATGGGTGATAGTATACAGCCTTGCTTTACTCCTGTCTTCACTTCAAAGGTATCACTGAGCTTCCCATTGTGAATCACTGGACATGTGGCATCTTCATATAGCTGTTGAATGAGGTTAATAAAACTGTGGTATTCCGCAGTGTTGAAGCATTTGAGGATTTTCCTCCACGAAAGCGCTGTAGTTGAAGGTATTCTTATTATTCTGGTAATAATCCTCACTAACAGAATCACCTTGTTAATAAACCTCAATAATTGTTTTGGAGATTTTCGAGATTCACATATCACTTCAACTGGGGCCTAGGTGTCTCCATTTTAGATTTTACAGTACCAGTAGTCCTCTTAACCAGTCGTCTCTAACCAGTAGTGTCACACGGAAATTGATACTATCTGAAGGAGAACTTCTAGCTGATAAATTGTACAGTATGTATGAATCAAAGTTTTCAGTATTAAAAATTTGGTGAGAATGTGAACATTATTTAAAGACTAACCGCTCAACGAAGAGAGTTTTCAGTCTATAATGAGAGTAATACGTTTCTTTTTTATGTTGGGCCGCAGTGGGATTTGAACCAGTGACCATTTTCAACACCAATGTCAAGTCAGTGCTTCTGTATGGTTCAGAGACTTGGCGCGTTACGAAAGGCATTTCCAATAAACTACAGACATTCATCAACAACTGCCTACGCTGGTTCGTTACTGAAGATCAGATGGCCAGAAAGAATAAGCAACAAGGAACTCTGGCTGGCGTCGAACCAACCAAGAACCCATCGCTCAACAAATATACAGCAGAAAATGAAGATGGATTGGGCATACACTAAGAAGGCCGACTGGGGACATCACGCGTCAGGCCAGTCGCTCAAGTGGAACCCCGACGGAAAGCGACGAGTTGGGCGTCCAAGGATGACATGGAGGAGGTCGTGTGAGGAAGAAATGAGAGCTTGTGGGCTGTCGTGGAGCCAGGTTCAAAAGATTTCAGAGAACAGAGCGTATTGGAGACGTACTGTTGAAGCCCTATGTTCCATTAGGAACCCAAAGGACAAATAAATAATACAATAATAGTATATGAATTTGTGATTTTCAATTCCATCTACCGAATTTTTCTTCATATTTGTTGCCTTAATGAAAGTATAATACAACGTTCAGAGATAGTGATGCCATCATGCGGCTCCAACACTCAAGTAGAGGAAATTGAGCCGATCGTGAAGGTATCCCTAGGGTGTTTAGAGACTCCTATATATACGAATAGATATCAGTGAATATCAACAATAAATTTGCGTTTTTTTTCCTCACCTGCCCTAAATTCCGCCATAACAAGAGACTTTTGTTTTACTTGCTATCCACCAACAATAGGCACAAATAAGTTGTATCAGTATAAAGTCATCGAAGGAGGGTTGAATGGAGAAAACTCATCTCGACTGGTTCTGACTATAGTAAACAGCGAAAATAAACGTATATTTACTCAAAGCCTTCGTAATGACTGCAATCATTGGTGAGTAGGGAAAGAGGATAAGAGATGTGTGTAATATGCGATACATATTTAGGCTTGTCAAGGAAATTAACTCACACAAAAAAGCCTAGTCAATAAGATAAAATATATGCTGTTACCGTGGTATTATTATTCACGGAGAATTCCGATTGCGCATGTTTTTTTTTAAAATACTTTACGGTACTGTTTTCCCAGTATCTAACTATATTTTTCAAAATATTGTGTGACTCAAAATACATCATACTTACAATATGTACTATATTTGCTTATATTTAGCAGCATAGTTAATAAGGGCATCGATAAAAAGAAAACTATCCAGATGGTGGTATATTTGTACTAAGGAAAATGATTCAATATATAATGACGTCAAATGAATAAATATTTCTTTATACAACTTTTTTTTCTCCCAGCTGTTTCGTTGCACTCTTATCGTGATGCTATGCTAGCGTATTTATCGGATGCTCTTTTATTATGGGTTGCCCTTACTGAACCACATCATGTTCAATATTTAGTGACATTAAATCAAAGTATATGGTTTCATAATCCAGAAATATGTCCTGAGCCAAATGAATGGATTCTATTTGAAACACGTGCCAATTATGTTGGTTAGTTGGATATTTTATTTGAATAGTGAATGAATAAATGAATAGACGATTTTTTTAAAATTATTTTAGATGGAATATTATCTATGTTTTTAAAGTTGGTTTCTGTAACAACAATTAAGTATTTTCTTTTCATTTTCTAAACACACTGGGAGTATATTAAAAACTACTCTTATAATAGATAGTAAATACATTAAATAGTTAGTTAACGCCTCTCTCTCTCTCTCTCTCTCTCTGATCACATCTGAAATTCTTTTTCATGTCAGCTTACAAGTATTGAACGGAAAAAAAAACAATCGGAATGGATCCTAATCTGTGCCACCACCTACAGTTGAAACGATGCTATCTAGGTGGATAGGTGAAAGAGACAACTTGCTTTGGATTTCTCCCGTTCATGGTGATTGGTGCTTGTTGTTGTTAGTTGGGTATCTCAATCACCTCTGTCTTCTCTACAGTCACCTAAAGGAAGTCCTGTCTTCCTTCGCTGCTTCGCCTCGCCTCGTCTCTTCTGCCAACTTGTTAGTTTCACCTGTATATCTTCGAGTTTACGCCACAAGACATTAAACATAAATCATCATCACTGGCGAAATCCAAATCTCCTAGAATCTTTTCATCGGTCCAGCCAGCGCATGCCCCTCTTCTTGCTTCTCACAGTTTGTTGCATGATCCAGTCCAGTCGAGTCGACCACAATCAGGAAGATCATCGGTGATAGTAGGTGACAACCTTGTCTTACTCCTATTTTCAATTCACTTCAAAGGCGTCACTGAGCTCTTCATTGTGAGTCACTCGGCATGTAGCATCATCATCGTCATACAGCTGTTGAATGATAAAGGCTTGTGGCATTAACACCGTAGTGTTGAAGCAGCTGCCTGCCAAATTACTTCTCGATCGACGCTGTCGAAGGCCTTTTCAGCGTGAATGAAGTTGAGTAGAGACCCAGCTGATCACCATTCTATGCTCTGTTCTATGATGATGCGTAGCCTAACGCTGCCATTCGATCGTCACATGATTTGTTCTTCCTAAATCCAGCCAGTCAGCCAGCTCCAGTCGTAATTTCGAATACAGAGCACATTTTAGTCTCTCCAGTATCATGTGGCGTAATATCTTGCCTCCTTCGGTGGACAGCAGCATGATTCCGCGCCAGTCCTTGCAAAGATGCAGTCCACGTCCCCCTTCTTTGGCAGTTTGACAGCCCTTCTTCCAGTCAATCAGCAGGCACCTTTCCTACCTTCCAAACCTTCTGCAATAGTGGTGTGAGCATGTCCGCTGTTGTCTCTGGAGTAATTCTATCTGGTCCTGCTGCTTTCCCGGATTTCAGCAACTTTATGGAGTTCAGGACTTCAGTTCTGCTTCTGTCGGAGGGCTTGTGTTCACTGGTAGTTCTGAGGTGGCGGGTGGTATTTCTGGACGAGTTGCAGATGGTGGTGGTGGTTGATTCAAGAGCTTTTTGTTTATTTGCCTAAAGAAACCCTTAACTACAACAGAAATCCAAAACCGTATGGACATATTAGCAGCGAATCATTCATTGCACACTTCTATCACACACTGCTATTACTGCACTAACAACCTTCACTGGAGGCTACCTCTTCCTTCAGTTGTGTTTATCACCCCATGTGTAAACCCTACAAGACAATTGCACTGGAAAGTATGAATATGCATGTCATGACGACTAGTTAAACGACGTAGAAAGGCACATGAAGCTACACTAGCATGGCGTAGATGTTGAAAGATACTTTAGGATAAGCAATTTATAGAGCCAAGTTGAAATCTACTTCGTCATGTAGAGCTAATCACAAGTTAGTGATTTTCTTCTTCTTACTCGTATATCCTTCGTTGTTTTTCAATTATTTGAAAAACACCATCATGCTGCATTCCAATTTAGAAATTTAAGACTTCTTAATTCCCACAAGCACTCATCCCCAACATTTCAACAGACTGTGTCTTTCCAAATGACTTTGAAAAGATTATCCTAACAACGATTGAAATAACCAATTAGGTTTCCTTATTTCGTCTGGAAAGAAAGAGGTGTGAATAAAGCCAAGAATTAGTCCTTTTCTAGAGCTTTAGCCTTCAACCCAGTTTATTACTAAATGGAAAAAGAGGGAGAGAGCAACAGGATGTGATGAATCAATAATCCGACTATACCAAACTCATGATTTTAACTTTGTTCAGGGTAATGCAGAGAGTAAAAAAATTCAAATTTCTTTAAATTGGTGAATATGCTCAACATTTTGATTCAATGGTTACTCAAACGCTTCCCAAGACATCTAGTTTTCCCAAATGTGTCACTTATGTGGTGTCGTATACATGTGCCCGACCGATAGCTGCTACCTTGACGTGGTGGTCGGGCTTGCATATCACAATGACCCAACGAGCTATGCTGGTGGAACGCTTGTTCCCTCGAGGTCCTACCATACCAGAAAGGTCTGTTGGGTAGTGGTTAGACGAAAAGCAGTTACCGTTATAGTGTAAATTGCTACACTATGATGGGGGTCTGAGGGCGAAGTCGTACTGCTGCTAGCTGGATGGGGTGTGACAGCAGTAAGGTGTTTCCCTTGGATGACCAGCAGTGCCAAGCTGATGCTGCCTTCTCAGTGGAAGGGGGGGTTAGAAAAGGTCGGCCCCAAAAATAACACACTCCACCACGCCCCACGGTCTGCCGGGCCGGCGGTGTTGGTTCACTTGTCGTTTCCTTTCGCTCATCCGGCCCCAAAAATACAAAAATTCAAAATAATCATACTCAAAAGGCTGGGTGTGACAGGCCTCAAGCAGATGTCCGATGGGCTCTGCGGTCACACAAATCTCTTTCAGGTACCTTAAGAAGAAATAGCCTTCCACGGTGTGGGCAGCCGGGAAGTGTCAACCGCCCTCACAACTCTGTCAGCACCCAAGTTTCTTCTGACTGCTATCCTCCTCCTCCATCATTACCTTCTAATCTTCCTTCACGTCTCTTAATTAATGATGCTGCATCATCTTCAATTTCTCCTACCTCTGCAGCCTTCGACAACGATCTGAGTCCACAGAACAGCATCCCTGGTCTCCTTAAACCACGCTCCAAATTACATATTGGAGCCTTCAATGTCCGCACCCTCCGTCAAATTGGCCAACAGGCTTCGTTGGCAAAGACTCTAGCAACTCGGGCATGGATGTGTGCTGTGTTTGTGAGACACGCATACAGGACCCAAGTGTGGTTATTCACCTGACCTCTCCTGACCAATCTGGTGAATCTGCAAAATTCACCCTTCGAGTTTCTGGAGATTCGATAGCTAGCTCTCGTGGTCTTGCAGGTGTAGGTATAGCATTAAGCACCAGGGCAGAAAACTCACTACTAGACTGGATCCCAGTTGATAGTCGCCTCTGCGCTATGAGGCTGAACGGCACAGTGAGAACTAAAAGGAATAGTGAGACTCGCCGTTGTCTCTTTGTAATCTCTGCTTACGCACCCACTGACTGTAGTTCGGATGAAGTGAAGGACGAGTTCTACCATAAACTGTCTAACCTCCTCTCGAAAGCCAAACGTTCGGACGTAGTGGTTGTTGCAGGTGACCTCAACGCACAGGTGGGTAGACTGAGTGAGGCAGAAAGGCACTTAGGTGGCACTTTCGGAATCCCAGCTGAACGTACAGATAACGGTGATCGCCTATTACAACTATGCTCAGATAACCGCCTATTTTTAGCCAGCACAAATTTCAGACATAAAGAAAGGCACTGTCTGACCTGGCGTCCACCGAGCTCGACTCAGCGATGGACACAGATAGACCACATTGCTATTAGTCATCGCTGGAGAGGATCGGTGGAAGACTGCCGCTCCTTCTGGAGTACGTGTTTGGACAGCGATCATGCGTTGGTCCGAGCACGTATATGCCTGCGTCTCAATGGACGTAGAAAAAATTTGGCAACAAAACCACTACGAGTTCTGCTGGACAACGAAAACACCAAAGCCGTGTTCAGTGAGAAGTTGGCTAGGCAGTTATCGGAACAAAAGACTGTCACTCATCCAGAAGAAGCTTGGTGCCATCTTCAGTCTACTGTAAAAGCAGCACTGGAGACTGTAGCCGACTCCAAGATAATGGCTAAAAAGAGCCAGTGGATATCAGCAGCTTCTTCCAAACTAATGGATGCACGTGAATGCATCCCTGCAGGCTCTGAGTACAATGAAGAGCGAGCGCAACTTAAAAATAAACTGACGAAAAGTCTGCGCAACGATCGTGAACAGTGGTGGGCAGCAAAGGCTAAAGAGATGGAAAAGGCAGCGGCGATCGGTAACAGTAGACAGTTATTTAGACTTATTAAGGAGACTGGGGGGAAATGGTCAACAACAGTTAGTGAGGTTATAGCGGAGAAGGACGGATCGGCGATTCACTCGCAGGGAAGGCGACTGGGACGATGGGCAGAACACTTTGAGGAACAGTTTAACTGGCCTCCAGCCACCATTGCGCTGCCCGCTATCCAGTCGGACCCTGAATGGGACATAGAGACAGGTCCCCCAACACTAGAAGAAGTTGAGAAAGCGGTAGGTAGCCTGAAACGGGGAAGGGCAGCAGGACCAGACGGACTACCTGCTGAGGTATACAAGAATGGTGGTAGAGTTCTCTTAGTCAGGCTAACGGAAGTGTTAGCCAGTATATGGGAATCAAATACGATCCCCTCCGACTGGTCTAAGTCACTCATCATCCCAGTCTTCAAGAAAGGCGAGAAGTCCTCTTGTGATAACCACAGAGGAATCAGCCTGACAAACATAGTGTCTAAGATCCTAAGTTCTATAATTCTCCGACGCCTGAGTGGAGCTCGGGAACAGCAAGCCCGAGAAAACCAGGCAGGCTTTAGACCTGGCCGTGGATGTATCGACCAAATATTCACACTGCGCCAGGTCCTGGAACATAGGCATGCTTACAGACGCCCGACAATAGCTGTATTTCTCGACCTGAAGGCGGCATTTGACTCCGTTGATCGAGAAGTCTTATGGCAGTGTCTGTCACTGAAAGGCGTGCCTAGTAAGTACATCACCTTATTGAAAGCTCTCTACTCGAACACTTGTGGGCATGTTAGAGCCTATGGTGAGTTGTCCAGGGAGCTATACTCATCAAGTGGTGTCCGTCAAGGATGCCCACTATCCCCATTCTTATTTAATTTTATCATAGATATTCTTATGGAGGTTTCCCTCTCGTCACCTAATTACAAAGACGTTGACCGGATCACAGGTGAATTTTCCTTAGATCTAGAATATGCAGATGACATAGTCCTGTTAGGTGAAGACGCTGACAAGATGCAGAGTCTTCTGAACACTTTGAGTGGGAATTTGAGAATGTTTGGGATGCGATTTTCACCACCCAAATGCAAATTTTTGCTCCAGGACTGGTCTTCAGCGGTACCGCGGTTAACAATAGAGAGTGAAGTGGTTGAGTGTGTTGACCACTTCACTTACCTGGGAAGTAGGATCAACCCTGGTGGGTTAGTTGCCGATGAGATTTCTGCACGGATACAAAAGGCTCGATTGGCTTTTGCCAATTTGCGCCACCTATGGCGCCGCCGTGATATTCGTTTGTCTATTAAGGGTCGCGTGTACTGCACAGCAGTCCGCTCTGTTCTACTGTATGGCTGTGAAACATGGCCATTGAAAGTGGAAGACAAAAAAAGGTTACAGGTGTTTGACCACCGTTGCCTTCGTAGTATAGGACGTATTCCGTGGTGTCACCATGTGAGTAATGCAGAAGTTAGGTGTAGAGTTTTAGGGAGAAGAGGTAAGTCAGTCGACGAGGTTGTGAACCTTCATCGACTGAGATGGTTGGGACACGTACTACGTATGCCTAGTCACCGATTGCCTCGTCACACAATGTTGGCTGAGGTGGGTTCAGGCTGGAAAAAGGCCCGAGGTGGCCAGACTAAAACATGGCACCAATGTATGAAGTCTCTGACTGTTGGTTTAAGCCATGTAGGACGATGCAGACTAGGTGGTTGGGGTCCACGGGACAAGAGGAACCAGTGGTTGGAGACCCTAGGTGATATGGCTCAGAACCGAAGTCAGTGGCGCAGATGTATACACACATTATCCTCATCTTAACAACGCTATACCGAATCTCACTATTTTGTCACTCCTCTTTCCTTTCTTCTCGTACTTTATATTTCTTTTGACTGCATTCACTTATCTTCATTCTTCTCCTCACTACCTTTTTACTTGATGTGCTGATATGAGGTGTGGCAACTCGGACCGTTACGCAGTAATGCCTGGTCCTATGTTGATAATGATGATGATGTATACATGTGCGTAGTCTGAAGGTTTTCAAGCTTTGTAATATATATTCGATGTTTATGAAACAAGTTATTCCTCCTATTCATTCAATGAGTGTTGGTTAGTCACAGCATGATCATATCTGTTTCAAAAAAACATTATGAAAACTCATTTGTTGAACAGCCTTTCAGATGAGACAAATAAAAAGTAGTGTCATGTTTTTTAATGAATTTTCTAAATGTATGAGACAGTTCAATTATCACACATGACAAATTTCTCTACTGATTCAACAATACAAGAGGTGATATTTACTTCATTGAAGTAGATGATGTTAGAAAGAGAGAAAAATACAATCTAGCTGTATTCTAATCTTCTTGCAGACTACCTTCAATTGAAATTATTGCATTTTACTACAATTCAATGTAGCTTGGAAAGTTATCACATATCTGGAAGCAATGATTCACCTTTTGTTACAGTACCTCCGTTAAACTCTAGACAGTGAAACATGTCCATGGGATCGTAGAGAAAAGAAGAGATGATTCACTGAAGAAAATTTTTTTCTCGATGATATCACTTTCTAAAACTGCACCATCATATTTGTATACATTATAAACATATAACAGTAGTCTATTATTAAGTAATAGGATACGATTGCGTCATCAAATGTACTAAAAAGACTGAAATCAAGAATGGAGAGCAATTGCGTAATAATCGTTTAGACAATAGAAATAACGAGGAAGACAAAGAGATTGGTACATGAGAAATGCGAATACTGACTGTCCACTTGACAGCAGATGGATAGATGTAAAGAAGGTGAAGAATGAGACAAGGGTTATAATGAAAGTGGTAATAACAAACTAACTAATTATAATGAAATCGAAAAATGTGGAAGTTTTAAGACCATGGTAAGATAAGTGATTGCATGCAGGTTTGACTCAATAAATGAAACCGAATGAAGCCTCTAGTCCAGTTATATGTCGAGTTGACCAAATGTTCAAGAATTGAACGTATGGTCAACTCTGGACACATATAGCTCGACCAGAGTCCTCCTTCAGTGTCATTTATAGGGTCAGATGGAATAGTTCAAAAGGAGTACGCCTTCGACAGTTGGGCACAGCAGAAGCACTGACAACTCATCAATTCAAACCTGATCTCTGTGCGTAGAAGAAGTATGTTCAATCTCTTGTCTTACCATCGTCCTAACACTTTCACAACTCTGTCGATTTCCTCATAATTAGTTTCTTTATTATTACCACCATCATTATAACTCTTGTCTCATTCTTCACCTTCTTTACATCCATCTATCTGTCAAGTGGACAATGAGTATTCGCATTTCTCATCTACCAACAATTTTCACCTTGCCCAACTCCCTGCCTTCCTCGTTATTTCCATTGTCTAAAAGACTATTACGCAACTACTCTCCATTCTTGATTTCAGTCTTTTAGTACTAGCCTAATCATGCAATTATACCCTATCGTTTAATAATAGACTACTGTCATATGTTTATAATGTATATAAGTATGATGGTGCAGTTTTAGAAAGTGATATTATCGAGAAAGAAAATTTTCTTCGCTGAATTATCTCTTCTTTTCACCAATACCTCCGTTAATACACGCTTTCAGACGATTCCAGCCAGTGCGTATCTCATTCTGTTGTCTATTTGTCACCGGCTTCTTTTATGAAAGCTGACGTGTAAACAATAAAAGAAACCGACCTCATAAAATGTAGTGGATATTTATCCAATCAGTATATTTACATAATTGTTACTACACGAAATAGAGAGTGTATGATGACTTATATTGGCAAGTCTCCTATATAATTTGACACTGTACTGTGATTACAGTGTAAATTATCACTAGTAGACATTGTACACTCTCCTCTATATTTTCTAGTTACCCCATGCCACACAATAACTATGGGAAAGTGTAAGGTGTATCTGTTCTCATTTATTTACATGATAAATGTAAATATCACCAAAGATTTGTAATTTAAAACTGATGTGGGATTGTGCAGCAATTGGTTATCCTAATTTAACAATGAATATCTCTTCATTCATCATTTGAAGTGATAATTGGCTGAGTTTGTTTTTCAATAGAAATATCAGCATAGTAAGGGATGGAAGTATACTCGAATATGGATTTTCAAGATAGAGGAATAAGCATATACCCTGAATTTCACTGTTGCTCATCACTACTAAATATGTTATAGGTTGCTTTATTTATGACAAGTTGAATCTGATTTCATGTTAGTCATTTATTTTATTTTCAGCATCTCAATTGATGTTTATGTATTAAGGTGTAAGTCGAATTTGTGTGACAGCTCATGATACGGCTCAGTTTCACAAGTTGAAATAAATAGAAGATTCTCACATGGCACAATGCTTGTGTGTTTACTACTACTTTACGAATATATAAAGCTTTGACTAATAACTTTTTTTTTTTAAAAAAAATTATCATTCATTACTTTGAAACCGTTTAGATTACTCAGCTTTGTATGTTGTCAATTGCAGTTTTTATTATGTTATTACTTCTTATCATAATATAGGTGGAGCCTTAACACTTTCATATGGAGAAATTTGGAATAAAGACGGTCATTTACTGGCAAGTATGGCTCAACAAGGTCTAATGCGAACTCAACAGTTGAAACCGAATTCATCCTACACATCATTGGATGAATTTGCAAGACAAGTGGGAAAATAATCTAGCATTTATTGTCTGTAGGAAATACACAAGTGTGTAGTATCAGAATCTCATTATTTAACCATTATGTCTATTCAAATTAACATTCCTTTTTCATACTGCATTGCAAACAATTCTCTTCAAATATGTTTTTCCACTATCTTATTTATTGAGGCTGTCATCTTATGTATTATTTATTCTGTGATTCCCTTATCAACATGTCTGAATTATCTTTTTCGTGTATTTGATATTTTAAAAAATACACTAACCAAGTCAATTCCGGTGTTACCTTGATGTGTGTTAGTTGGTGAATATGATATACATCATTTATAATGAAGTAATTAGTAATACTGATCTGGTTTATTTTTGAAATTATAAGCATACTAAATATGAGACATGGTCATTATTATTGACTATAAATTTATAGCAATTACAAATACTAGTAGTTAAATATTACCATATCGACATTGATAACGACAAAAAGGTTATAACCTTTCTTAGGTTTGCTAATAATTCAGAGTGGAGCTGTGGATCATGAGTTCGAACATTGTGCTCTACCTGTTAAGGTTTGGGCAGTCAGGTAGTAGTATTATCGATAGCCTTCACACAAGAGGTTTGGATCATCGCCTATTGTATGAGCATGTGTTGGCTTCGTTCGTTTAAATAAGTCGGACAGTTTTAACTTACAAAAAATCTGATACCTTGTTAACTTTATTTCCAACAAGACTTATGGTACAGTGTGGAATTCTCATCACATAGTAGTTCAATAAATACATTCTCAATACAATATCTTTAAGCGAAATAATCACTACATTTGAATAATGTTAATAATAACAGTAATAAAACCCACAGCAATCGGTGACTAGGCATACGTAGTACGTGTCCCAATCATCGACTGAGATGGTTGGGACACGTACTACGTATGCCTAGTCACAGATTGCCTCGTCACACAATGTTGGCTGAGGTGGGTCCAGCCTGGAAAAAGGCCCGAGGTGGCCAGACTAAAACATGGCACCAATGTATGAAGTCTCTGACTGTTGGTCTAAGCCATGTAGGACGATGCAGACTAGGTGGTTGGGGTCCGCGGGACAAGAGGAACCAGTGGTTGGAGACCCTAGGTGATATGGCTCAGAACCGAAGTCAGTGGCGCAGATGTATACACACATTATCCTCATCTTAACAACGCTATACCGAATCTCACTATTTTGTCACTCCTCTTTCCTTTCTTCTCGTACTTTATATTTCTTTTGACTGCATTCACTTATCTTCATCCTTCACCTCACTACCTTTTACTTGATGTGCTGATATGAGGTGTGGCAACTCGGACCGTTACGCAGTAATGCCTGGTCCTATGTTGATAATGATGATGATGATATCGAGAGTAATTTTGTTGGTGATAGTTTATTCAACCAGTACCAAAGTTATATTTCTTTTCATTTATAAGCCCATCTCTTACCGGTGTATCGTTTATTCTTTGTATAGTTGTTGGCCTAAAAAATGGTGGTTTGAAGCCATCTTAAAAGTGCCCATTAAAGAGATATATTTATAAGATTAAAACAAACTAAAGGGGATGAATTTGATGAAATAAATCCCGTTGAAAATTATCAGTAGCCCAAAGTTTAAGCAGGACGCCAGATCAGTCAGCTGATAGTATAATAACAAATCCCTTATTCTATACCTACTAGTCGCCATTAAAACGATAAGGATGCCAAAAACATATCTTGAATATAAAGAAGTGAATCAAAGTGCTTTATCAATTGACAAGAAGTTTGTAAACTAAATAATAACTGTCTTAGTACAAATCTTGATATGTAATACCTCGGAAAGCAAAAAACAAATGATACTTAGTAACAAGGTTCAATTTCTTTATATGAGTTACGTTTAGCTTGTTAAAAGACGTAACAAATGAATTGGAACACACGCTGTTTCAAATAAGCCTATCGATTTCTTCTTAGTGCATTATTACTAAGGGGAGCAAAAACTACCTATAGATGTTAACTGATACACTCCAGAATAAAAACAAACCGTATCGTTCAATCTGTGAGCAATAATATCGGAGTCAGAAGTACTCTTAATAATACGTCAAACCTATTTATCGAACTAGAAACATTTGTACAAATCAACACAGTTGTTCCTTTAAATAATTCTTATCAACAACAATTACACATTTCATTCATGTTTATTTATTTATTATTTGTCCCTTGGGTTTCTAGTGGAACATAGGGCTTCGGTAGCACGTCACCATTTCACTCTCTTCTATGCAGTCTTTCCAACCTGGCTCCACCGCTGCCCACAAGCTTTAATTTCTTCACACTATCTCCATGTCACCCTCAGCCAAAACGCCCAACTCGTCGTTTCCACTTTAGGTTCCATATGAGGGCCTGGCCTGACGCGTCATGTCCCCAGTCGGTCTTCTCAGTGTATGCCTGACCCATCTCCACTTTCTTTTGCATATTTCCTGGACGATGGCTTCTTGGTTGGTTCCTTGCCAGCCAGCCAGAGTTCCTCATTGCGTATTCTTTCTCGCCATCTCATCTTCAGCATCGAATGAGCGTAGACGGCAGTTATTGATGTATGTCCGTAGTTTGTTGGAAATGCTTTTCGTAACATACCAAGTCCCTCAACCGTCACATAGAAGCACTGACTCAGTGTTGAAAATCCGTATCTTCTTCTCCATGCTGAGTGCAGTAGATCTCCACACTGATTTCAGACTAATGAGAGCTTGTTTTGCTTTTCCGATCCTCGCTTTGACATCCTCATCTGTGCCACCACCTACAGTTGAAACGATGCTATCTAGGTGGGTAGGTGAAAGAGACAACATGCTTTGGATTTCTCCCGTTCATGGTGATTGGTGCTTGTTGTTGCTGTTGGTTGGGTATCTCAATCACCTCTGTCTTCCCTACATTCACCTAAAGGAAGTCCCATCTTCCTTCGCTGCCTCTTGTCAACTTGCTGGTTTTTGCCTGTAGATCTTCGAGTTTACGCCACAAGACATCAAACATAAATCATCATCACTGGCGAAATCCAAATCTCCTAGAATCTTTTCATCGGTCCACCCAGCGTATGCCCCTCTTCTTGCTTCTCACAGTTTGTTGCATGATCCAGTCCAGTCGAGTCGACCACAATCAGGAAGATCATCGGTGATAGTAGGTGACAACCTTGTCTTACTCCTGTTTTCACTTCACTTCAAAGGCGTCACTGAGCTCTCCATTGTGAATCACTCAGCAAGTAGCATCATATAGCATACAGCTGTTGAATGAAGTTGATTAGGGTTTCTGACACTAAAACCGTAGTGTTGAAGTAGCTAATTCTCGATCGAAGGCCTTTGCAAAATCGATGACGCTGAGGTTGACTCCCATTCTATGCTCTGTTCTATGATGGTGCGTAGCCTAACGCTGCCGTTCGATCGTCACATGATTTGTTCTTCCTAAATTCAGCCAGTCAGCCAGCTTCAGTCGTAATTTCGAATCTGGATAACATTTTAGTCTCTCCAGTATCATGTGGCGTAATATCTTGCCTGCTTCGGTGGACAGCAGCATGATTCCGCGACAGTCCTTGCAAAGACGCAGTCCACGTCCCCCTTCTTTGGCAGTTTGACAGCCCTTCTCCCAGTCAATCAGCAGGTACCTTTCCTACCTTCCAAACCTTCTGCAATAGTGGTGTGAGCATGTCCGCTGCTGTCTCTGAGTCTTTTTTCAGTGCTTCTGGAGTAATTCTATCTGGTCCTGCTGCTTTCCCGGATTTCAGCAACTTTATGGAGTTCAGGACTTCAGTTCTGCTTCTGTCGGAGGGCTTGTATTCACTGGTAGTTCTGAGGTGGCGGGTGGTATTTCTGGATGAGTTTCAGGTGGTGGTAGTGGTGGTGATCGATTCGAGAGTTTTTCGAAGTGGTCAGTCCATCGTTTCCTTTGTTTCTCCTCTTCGTTTGGTGGCAACTAAGTTTCCTTGACTATCTCATTGATTTCATCTGTGTTGATCTCTTCCTACCAGATAGTAACCTGGTTAGTTGATATAATGTTGTCAGGTCTCTGTCTCTACTACCTGCAGTCTCTTCCGGTTCACCTTCCAGTGTGTCGTACGAGCGTATTTCGTCTTTCCGCGCACTCCTCTTCACTTCTTTGTCCAGTGTAGTGTTTTATAGGTTGTATTCACTTCCTCTTTTCGTTGTTCATCCGTGCACTGCACTGCTTCAGCTTCTGCTCTACCATCTTCCTCTCTTTCCTCTATCAGCTTCCATGTGTCTGTCGAGATCCATTCCTTGTCTTGTCTTGTCTTTGACTTCTTCCCTCCTAACACGCTTACGCAGGTTTCCTTCCACGTCTGAGTGGTGTGAACTCTCATCTGCTTCTCTTCTTCATCTTGTGTCAAGTAGGCCGCGTATCCACTTTCTTCACATTGAGATGAAGTTAATCTGATTTTTAGTAGTGTGTCCATCTGGTGAGTGGTCAAATCCATGTCGCTGCCTTGTGAATATCTTTGTGTTTGTACACAATGCCTCCAATCACCAAATCATTAAATGCACAGAAGTCTACAAACAGTTCTCCATTCTCATTCATCACTTCATTGAGTGCCTCTCGACACATGATCAGTTCTCTTTCTGTGTTGCCCGCTCCTAGTTTGGCATTAAAACATGTCACCCATTAGAATTTTGACGTCACCATCTGGGGTGGGGTCTTGTCCATTACTGATTGCAGTTGTCTTCAGAATTCCTCCTTCTTCTCTTCATCTGCATTATTTGTAGGTGCGCAGCGTAGCACTGTACGATTGTAACTTTCCTTCCCTTTGATTTGAATCCATCTTGCTGTCATGATGCTGATCCTGCAGGAGGAGATTGGTTCCCACTGTATGAGAGACAGCCTTCGATGCTCGTGGGAGGGGGACATCATGATAGCCACTCGAAAACTCAGTGTGCTCGGGGTTTCTGTCTGGGTGACCGAAGTAGTTTATTGACTCTTGAGTTGACAGTTTGGAGAGTCCACTTCCATTCCATCTGCAGATTCCTCCCAGATTCGTAGCACTTCTATGCTATGTCTTCTTATTTCATTCGCGATCTGGGTAGCCTTTTCAGGGAGCTTCAAACATTATGTGGGCATTGCATGTCCACATTTTTACTTTCGCTTTGATCAAGAGAGAGAGAGAGAGAAGACATATCGGCTAGTTGGCTTCCCGAAGGCTTTCACCAACTGGCATCATTTCGTATCCCCGACTCCCCAGCGAAGAATAAGTTTATTTTTGTTGTTTATAGTTTCTTTGTGCTTTGAAGTTTTTCTAGCGATTGGATTGGTTTTGCGGGGTAGGGTTGCTAGCCCTATGCCCAACCTTCCCTCTTTATGCGGGTATAGGTCCGGCTAGTAACTAGTAAACTAGACGAGGTTACTGATGTCTATGTTGAAAACTAACTCTATTGAACTCAGTAATTGTTGTCATCTGATTTCCTTCACTAAAACTGGTAAACAATGACACATTAACAAAATTGGTTGGAAAGCATATACCGTCTTGACCAGTTAAGTAACTGTAACATGACCAACATATCTGTAGATACCTAGGACTTTAAAGAGATTAACTTATTCCCAGGATGGCGTTTCACTGATTTCGAATATGCAGACGACATTATCTTCTTACTTGATGTTAACAAAACGCAAGGTCCTCTTAACACCTACAACAGAAATCTGAGTGTGTTTTGCATCTATCAAATGTAAGATGATCCTTCAGGACTGGCATACACCGATTCTCACTTTAAGAATGGTGACTGAAGTGGCAGTGTGTTGATCACCTACATACAAAACTGTATTAGCCCAAATGGTTTGATTGTTCACGAAACTCCGGGTAGAATACTAAAGGCCCTTTTGGCATTTGCAAATTATATCTCACACCAGCAAGATCTGACTACCTATCAAAGAAAGAATACAATTTCTCGCAGTCAGCTCTGTCTTACTATGTGGCTAAGACAGCCGCGGAAAGTCGAAGATATAATGAAATTATAGGTCTTCTGTCAGTTAGCATCAACTATAAGACCTAGCATTAATACCTAACGGTCCGCAACACCGAACGATATCAGCACATCAAGGTGGGAAGCGAATGGACGGCAGCAAGAAACTGCCTATAGATGTAAATCGATACACCTTAGAATAACAAACCGTATCATGCAATCCGTGAGGAATAATACCACAGTCTGAAGTACCCTTAGTAATGAAATATGCACCAAACCTGTTTATCGGACTCAAAACATTTTTACAAATGAAGAAGATTCTGTTATAATCAACCAACTTGCTATTTTAAATAAGTCTTATCAACAACAATTAGCACTCGAGTGGAACCCAGATGGGAAGCAACGAGTTGCGCGTCCGAGGGCGACATGAAGCAGATTGTGTGAGGAAGAAATGAGAGCTTCCGGGCAGTCGTGGAGTCAAGTTCAAAAGATTGTAGAGAACAGAGTGGAATGGAGACGTGCTACTGAAGCCCTATGTTCCATTAGGAACCCAAGGGACAAATAATAATATACATAATAACAAAAATTACACATTTCATTTATGTTTGTATTGAAAACTAACTGTTAAACTGATTCATCTCATTAAAAATTCTAATCAAGGACAAATTAACAAAATTACTTTAAAAGCATATACTGATTTGAACAGTTTGAAAACTGTAATAGGATACTAAAAGAAATTGTTATCCACAAAAAAAGTGGATGTCACAACAAACATATATCAAAATGCTTGTTACCAGCTTTGCACACTATATCTGTTACTTTATGATAAATTTGTTTCCTTTCAGAAAATATTGATTTCTTCAAATCTAGCTGTACACAGAAGTGAAATTATACGAAAATGTTACACTTACTAAGAGATTGTTTAAAACTTCTTCAGAATATTTTTCTCGGACATTACCATTGAACCATAAGAAGCTAATATGAAATTTAGGATCCTAAGGAGTAATTAGATGATATACTTTATCTCACTTTATAATATTCAGGACCACGAAATGCAGTGACACATGAACTAACAGAATTCAAGAGAGGGACCAAAGTTGTATGAGATTCCTTAGAAGCTACCAAAGTAACAAAAGACCTAAGAAACATAATAAGTAGAGAAAATACATACCGTGTGCCTTCTTCATTTATCAAAATGTCTAAATCGTTAAATGCAATGTAAAACCTACAATTAAATGATTATGAAAGCACAATGCTTACTTTTCGAAAGTGCTTATCGAAGAACGAAGGTTACAAACAAGCTTTTCAATCCAATGAAAGTAAATAGGCCATGTTTTTGACAAACTTAAATGGAGTGAGTCCATGAAGTGAAAATCACTTATGATTAGATTTAACTGGATCATAGAATCGTTAATTACTTCAAGTAGTTGTGAGTGAAAATCAGGACCTAATCAAAATGAACAAAAGCTGAGGCGCTTACATGATATATATATACATGTAGCCCAGTTACCAGTTTCGTGAGGAAATGATCTGATACGGAAGTTATGCCTTGAAGGGTCATCTTCATGGACGAAAAAGCGTAGACGATCAGAATCTAAAGCCTGTATTGCTGAGGGTAGTTCTAGCCTTTCACTCTTTTCTTCATCACTGGATGAATATTCCACCAAATGCGTACCCATACTGTATAGACTAAGTAGTAAACACGAGATGCAGCCTTTAATACGGTCAACTTTCTAGACTACACCAAATCTGTAGAATTTCGCATTTTCTTGAAGCCTAAGAACAGTGAATGACGAAAAAGAAACGATGAGAAAAGCAGATCACGAAGTGTCTTGGTTATTACGAAATTATTTTGCTCAACCACTAATTTTTAATTTCCCACTAACTTATTCTTTTAAGTGTATAATCTCATAAACTTAGTCAACAGATCAACAGAATACTGCTTCATCTCGGTTTCACCACTCAAATTTTTTCATCCTACCTTTACTTCGGTGTATACCGACCCTCACGAACGTAGTTACTAAGTGGGGGGGGAACGTTGCGTCCGCATATTTCATAAAAATACTGATTGCTTTATCATATTCCAACACAAGAACCCACCCAATACAGTAAGAAGAAGTACTGAACAATTGTTTCAATGCTAATCAAAGCTATCCACTGAGACTCATGCAGCCGTGTAGGAGCTGATGGAGAGTTGTCGTCTGAAGTAATGACAATCAGCAGCAAATACTAGAGATGCCCAGTGTTACCGTTCCTGCCAAACTTTGTTCCAAACTTACTCATGAACACAACTGTAGGTACGTAGGACTTTAAAGAGATTAACTTATTCCCAGGATGGCGTTTCACTGATTTCGAGTATGCAGACGACATTATCTTCTTACTTGATGTTAACAAAACGCAAGGTCCTCTTAACACCTACAACAGAAATCTGAGTGTGTTTCATTATCATCGTTATTTGTCCCTTGGGTTCCTAATGGAACATAGGGCTTCAGTAGCACGTCTCCAATGCGCTCTGTTCTCTGGAATCTTTTGAAACTGGCTTCAAGATAGCCCACAAACTCTCATTTCCTCCTCACACGATCTCCTCCATATCACCCTAGCTTCACACGCCCAACTCGTCGCTTAACATCGGGGTTCCACTCGAGCGACTGGCCTGATGCGTGATGTCCCCAGTCGGCCTTCTCAGTGTATGCCCAATCCATCTCCATTTTCCGCTGCATATTTGTTGAGCTATATGTTGAGTGTGTTTTGCATTTATCAAATGTAAGATGATCCTTCGGGACCGACATACACTGATTCTTACTTTAAGAATGGTGACTGAAGTGGCAGTGTGTTGATCACCTACATACAAAACTGTATTAGCCCAAATGGTTTGATTGTTCACGAAACTCCGGGTAGAATACTAAAGGCCCTTTTGGCATTTGCAAATTATATCTCACACCAGCAAGATCTGACTACCTATCAAGGAAAGAGTACACTTTTCCACAGTTCTCTGTCGTATTTATTATATGGCTGTGAGACATGACCGCGGAAAGTCGAAGATATGAAATTATAGGTCATTTATCAGTCAGTATCAATTATAGAACGTGGCGTTATTACATAGTGGTTAGAGTTACCAAACGATACCAGCACATCAGTATGGTAAGCAAAAGAATGAAATATTGACAGATATATGGAAGAAAGTAATCAGAAGTGGTAAAGCTATAAAAAAAGAAGAAAAAGACATTGATGAAGTGCAGTATGACTATTAATATTAAAATGTGTGGGTGCATCCATGCCACTAAAATCGATTAAGCCGACTGACAGACGCTATTTTGGTTTGACTGTCAGGTTTACACTTCATAATGACACATGCTAGTGGGTTAGTTTGTTCCTTAGAGTCCTACCATACCAGAAAAGTCTTCTAGATATTGGTGAGACGGATGAGCTACTATTTTTGTGTGAATAACTTCCACATAGGGTCCGATGACAGGTCGCACTGCCAGCTGGATGGTGTGACAACAGCAATATTTCTCCCACGGACTACCCGAAGTCTCATCAGCCATCCAAATCAACATAGGACCAGGCATTACTGGGTAACGGTCCGAGTTGCCACAGCTCATATCACTACATCAAGTAAAACGGCAGTGAGGCGCAAGATGAAGATAAGAAAATTCAGTCAAAAGAAATACAAAGTACAAAAAGAGAAAGGAAGAATGAGAGAATAGTGAGATTCGGTATAGCGTCGTTAAGATGAGGATAATGTATTTGTACATCTGGGCCACTCACAGAGGTTCTGAGCCATATCCCCTAGTCTCCAACCACTGGTTCCTCTTGTCCCGTGGACCCCAACCACCTAGTCTGCATCGTCCTACATGGCTTAAACCAACAGTCAGAGACTTCATACATTAATGTCATGTTTTAGTCTGGCCACCTCGGGCCTTTTTCCAGCCTGGACCCACCTCAGCCAACATTGTGTGACGAGGCAATCGATGACTAGGCATACGTAGTACGTGTCCCAACCAGCTATCTCAGTCGATGAAGGTTCACAACCTCGTCAACTGACTTACCTCTTCTCCCCAAAACTCTACTTTTAACTTCTGCATTACTCACATGGTGATACCACGGAATACGTCCTATATTACGAAGGCAACGGTGATCAAACACCTGAAGCCTTTTTGTATCCTCCACTTTCAGTGGCCATGTTTCACAGCCATATAGTAGAACAGAGCGGACTGCTGTGCAGTACACGCGACCCTTAATAGACAAACGAATATCACGGCGGCGCCATAGGTGGCGCAAATTGGCAAAAGCCAATCGAGCCTTTTGTATCCGAGCAGAAATCTCATCGGCAACAAAAGGCTCGATTGGCTTTTGCCAATTTGCACCACCTATGAGAAAAGGTAAGTCTCAGTACACCTCTCTGTCTTGTCGTTTTTCAGTGTCGGTGACGTGGGTTTCACAGCTAGATTTGAGATAGTCAGATTTAAAGTTCCAGGAATGATGTACTCATCGGCCTTATGTAAATATCTCTGGCTCTGTGGTCACGTACCACTATTAGTAATACGACTTCTTTTACAGGCATTTCAAGATGTAATTTTTCACGGTGTTGGCAGCCATGCAACACCAATTTCACTCAAAACTCTGCTAGCACACAAGTTCCCTCGGGTCCTTACGGGATTTTGACCACAGGTGTCTTCATGCCGTTGTTCACGTGTCCTGGAATCACAGTGTGGGTAGTGTCGAGGTTGGGTCAAGGTTACTCGACAAAGAGGACGTCAGTCGATAACCATAAACATTCACCCATTGAGTCAGCATGGACACATGCTGCGCCTATCTCAACGTGCAATTTCAGCTCAAATAGGAGTGGGTTGGAAGAAGGCTCAAGATAGTTCGACCAAGAGGTTACAACTGTGTAGAGGTGTTCACGGTCTGTCTGGGATTAATGGTTAAAGACTATTGGTAACAATTTTTGAAAATCAGTCACGGTAGTGTAGATTTTTCCACTTTTTAACGCCTTTGAAGGATGAACATTCTCGCCAGCCTTCACCTATTTCTCTTTCCCACTCCTATACACTCTTTTTCAATTTACTTCCTCTTTGCATACTGTTGTGGCAACTACAGCCGATGCATTTCTCTGGGATGTTCTACGCTGATTTACCTGTTTGTCTGATGTGTGACATTTACTCAACAAAACGAAGCTGTAATATGATTGGTAAATTTTCGGAGCTAAATTAAGCATTTTGTTTCTCATCAGATGTCCTCCTTCAGATAAAAAAACCACACACGTTCTTATTACTTTAATGAATCCAACATGGAGTCAGCAAAGTTTGTACTGTAAAGACACAAACGTATCATTACGAAATGCGGGTTATCCAAGCGGAACACCATACTGTTGTAACATGTCGTACAGCCAGTAGTGCAACTTCATCTTCAGATCCCCACCAACTATTTACAATGGGATGGTAACTAATTTTTCTTAACACTTTTCAAAAGACGTTTCTGGCATCTCAGGACCTTAAAGAGCGATCATTTCAACCATCATAGCTTGCTGTCATAAGTGACTCCGACCAATATTGGTCATATGTCAAAGTAGAGACTATCGGTAAGAGGACAAGATTATTCGCTTACAGTAAAAGAACTCAAAGGAATAAAAGTATTCCAAAAATACTGACTAACAAACGAAAACTGGGTGTAATAAGAGAGGACTATACCTTAAAAGAGCATTCGAGCTAAACACTCTCTGCAAACTGTGAAGTGTCTGGAAATAGCCGTTAGCAATGGATTTTATAGAGTAGAACCAGTACTTACTAAGGAGGCAATCATCTTATGAGTACTGTAGAATCTTAATCCCGCAGAAGTATGTGGCAGTGGTCCAGTAGCTTAGGCAGATGACGTACAACCAGTGGATCACCAGTTTGAACCCCGCTCCACTTACCGAGTTTTGAGCATCCAGGTAGTGTCACTAGTCCTCACACAATGTCTCATTGTCAAATTTATGAACATGCATAAGGCAGCGGACTTTGACTTTGACTTCGAATCCTCGGAAGTCCCGCAGCTCATATGAGCTTAACACGATCTACAGTAGCAGACATCAGTAAAAAATTGTAGAACAAGTTTCATGTTGGCAGTGGGTGAACAGAGGTGTATCCAGCCACACTTGTCCAAGTTCAATCAAAACTTTTATGTAGTTGACCAGTTGATCACCTGGAATGGTTCTTTCTGTGCCAATGTTCGTAAGTAGTTTGAATCATCAACATGGAATGTATAGATCACCTGAATGTCATTGACGTACAGAAACGGTTTACCATGTATGAAACAGCCAGAAGTCACCGATGAGGGTGATGAGAAGCAGAGGGCCTGGCACATTACCCCGGGTGACACCAGATGTGGTGGCTCTAGATTTTGAAAGATGCAGCCCAGCTCTCACTGCTTGGGAACTGCTGCTTAGTTTGGATCCAATCCAACTCGGCAATGGGGATTCTTTCTGGTGAGCCCTAAGTTTTCACGAGGGCAGAGAATGGCCAACGCGGTCAGATGCCTTCCAGCTGCCAAAATAGAGGACTGCGACTAATAAGTGTTGGTCACAGCTACTGGTTGCGCATTCAAAGAAGTGGAAGTGGCAAGTCATGCATGAACCACACTTGTCATTGCTGCACACTTTCTTGTTGACAATTCCCTTGCCGAATTTTGGATTTCAGATAGGCTCTCCCGGAAAACACATATCTGGTCGTCTGTATATTTCCCCCAAACCTCCTGACCGTCAGCACATAGGAGTAAACGTGTGTTTAAGGTTGTTGGTAGGTCGTTTAAAACACCAGTTTTAAAGTGAACCCAGAGTGGGGCCCTGACGCCAGCCACTGAGTATTCACAGCCATCTACTTATGTATGAACCAAATACGAGTGGTTGAGACCGATTATTTCGACTACCTATGAGCCACACGAGTTAGTCCCCACATAAACCCTTAAGCCAAAGCCTCTGCGTAGCGCGTCACGATCACTGTGGACACAGAGTGAGCGCTGTGGTGGAGCATAACTCCTTAACACTACGCTTTGGTATGTATTGCGTAGTTAATCAGCAGTTTATTTACTGATTAAAACGTCTCAACATACGATACTTGCGCAAAGGAAATGTGACGGAAATGATATGAATAACCTCGGCGAACATCTTAGGAAATTCAAGCGACCCCATATAAACAGACTTCTGACCAACAGAAGGAGTTCGCCCGTTCGATGCCATCAGCAGGCTAAGTAAGAGCCCGGGTGAGAGATAATTTAGTAATCTTTTTTCCGTTTGATAATGAGGAGATAAGTTATGCACTACTCTTTCCATTACCTTGGTAACTGGGGGGACCAAAAGCGTCAGCTTACAATTATAGGTGATGGCTTTGTCAGCAATCTCACGCACCGAGTAAACTGCCACCGATTTCTAGTCTGGGGGTAAGTTAGCTTCTAGAAACGAAATACTAAGGAATTTTTTGTAAGTCAGATAAAACATTGTCACACTTGGTTACGTCGTTCAACTGCAATCAGGCGCAGCAGGTCTACGAAGATTTCAGCCCTTAAGCTTTCCCTCAACCTTAAGAAGCTCGTGTGCTATGCAACACAGCCTCCTGTAATCCCGGTGCCTATCTGGTTTGAGGTCAACACTTCCACCTGTCAGAAACTTCACCTTCATTTCCCAGCAAGTAGGTTAGGTTAGAATCGGTGTGCTCAGCCTGTGAAATATATACGAAGTGCAAAGTTGCCATTCTTAATCATGAGTATGATCCCCTGCACCTCACCTCCACTTTATGCTCACATATGTCCAGCAGTCGGTTCTGTTCCATTCAACTTTTGCTGTAAACTCGTCACTGATGTTCACAGCCTCTGGCCGTTCATACTGTCGGCTAATCCCCTTCGATTCCATTCCGGCAGATAACGTTGCCAACTTTCAGCCTTTTTATCTTCCCTTTTGAAAATCGTGCCTTGGAATCAGGCGTAGAGAAAATGATATCTCACCTACTTAAATTACTGCAAAAGCCACATTTCCCTCCTCTAGCACCAAGTCAAAAAGTATAGAGGCAAATGTTTTATTCCAGATTTCTATCAGGCCTACTATTTTCATCCAAGTCCGAAGCTACATACCCGGGAACATCTCAGTGGTAGGCTTACCAGTGGCTGCATATCCGGCGAACCTTTTATATAGTCATACTGTTAGTGTTACGCCACTCGTGAGTTCTTTAGCCTGAAAGACACTCCCATTTACAGGTTCTGTGGTCTTTGTGCTCCTACTCAGGCCTAAGTATTTCATGAAACCGCTTGTCCTTCTGTAAGCTGACTGGGGAATCTGGCAAGCTAAACTGCCCATTGCCTCTTGTCTTCCGCAGTTCCACTCTTTAATTGTCCCATGAGCACACTCAAGTGAATTACTTCTCACCACAAAGTGTAACTTAATTACCGTCGTGATATAAGTATTCGCCACTTCAAGCTAATAAGGCACAACTGATCAGACAACTTTTGGTGTTGGTAAATTTCACGGTGTGCATGTTAGCACCCCTCTCTATATTTAAAACAAATTATTTTCGACAACGCATCTAACGTTTTTCTCGTATCCCGTTCCCTTGGGAAATACGAATGGAATTCATCCTTATGAAAATCTGACGTGTTCAGAAACTTGAGATATCCACTATCTTATTGTATTCTGTACAGAAGCTCTCCCAATGTGAACCTTATGTCTATCTTTGAGCAATAAGGCTCCACCGGCCAGAATTGTCAAACTGTTGCCTACTCGTATTAGCAAGGATGAGCTGTCATTGTTATAAACATGAATCTCGGGCGAGCATTATCGATGGCATGATTTCACTAACTTTTGCGGGTATTCTGCTCATGATATTCGATAAATTATTACTTTTCAGCTCAAGAGCTTTTGCCCGACTCCCTACTTATTTTCGTATTGCTTATAGTTTGTAAATGATTACTGATTGGAAGGGACCTTTGATTGTGCATTTCCTCAACTTTTGGTCAGCGAAGTCGATTTTCTATTCTCACATGGTTTGGAGGTTGCGGACAGGAAAGTCAGTTACATATACAGATGATTCAGGATACCAAAATTCGCGGTCAATAATGGCGAAAGTTTGTGTCCGGTTGTGTGAGGCGTGGTCGCGAGACTCCTTGTGAGCATAACTGAGTATCCAAGGCGTGGCATGTGCACAATTGATAAATAACTGGATGGTTTATTCTCGAATTAGGAATTTAACATGAGAGAAGCCAGTTGACAGGCCTTATCAAATTGTCAGTGGTGGGGAAATTTCCAATAATTGAATGATACGGAAGGGGGGATATCAACGATTATCATGAAGCCAAAAGTGTCTGCAGATAATGGAAAGAGCAGAAAAATATCTCTTTACAGAAAATGCAGATTGTTTATGATTTTCGGTCGTCTCCATTCACTATTCTTTTTTTCACGATAAAGTGGCGCCAGTCAAGTGCAAGGTCAGGGTTGGAACTGAACTGAACATGTTGGGCGCTGATCAGTATGGACTTGCAACATAGCGCAGTAATATAACATGATAAAATATATAATGCACATAACTATCATGCATATCACGTTAAGAAGTCATCATAAATTATTAAGAAATTCAGCTAACCGGTGGCAGAAAATCGTGTGGTCGAAACTGATGAAATCATCAGCTGCACGTCACCAATGGTTAATAAATCAAAGTGGGTTGTCAATTTTTCAAACATCCTCAAGCTCGAAAAAAGTAAATATGCCGGTGAAGGGGCTTGACTTGACTCCGGCTGTTATCGATTTGAAGTCTGAAGATATCAGTCGCAAAACGGTCAGTGGCAGGTGAAGTGGAAGTACGATATTCACTGAGACCAAGAGATGCAAAAATATAATCTAACTCACCAGAACTGGAAATGGAAACTCTGATGAACTTGCGGAACGGCCATGATGTAACTGCCAAGTCTGATGAATCTAACCCAGAGATTGCACAGAATAAACTTGATTGCATTAGCAAGGAACATGAAAATATGGAGGAAGGGCTGAATTGGGAGGCCAGTTAACTGGAGAATACTATGGTATATGAAGTCAAGAAATCCACGTGGAACCTCAAAGACGAGAGGGAACCGTTCCTGGGCAAGCAAAACCGACTTAACTAGGCACCAAAAACCAGCAGCCATGGTGGAATTTATGACGTTATCAGGGTTGATAAGCCAGGCTGTCCCGTCGGATTCACAGTAGATCTCACAATCTGCCTAAATATTCGGCGACGGTAATAAATCAACTTGAAAGCCGTGCAAGGTCTAGGCTTACTACCCCCCACGGCCGAAAGTTTGGACTAGATGGAATTCAATTTGCCAGAGGCAGAAAATGGTTAGTAATGATGTGACTGGCCTTTCGAAAAATAGCCTGCTCGGTTCGGCTTCCGAGACAGCCGGATACGCGATCGATAATGGTAATTAGCCTGCTCGTCGAACTTAGTTACCAGTCGAGGACATCATGCTAGAAGTACTGCTTTCGGATATCCACAGGTTTCAAACTTCGTGATGAAGAATTTGACAAAAGGATGGAGTTGTCTGCGGCTACCACTACCTCCCATTCTCACATGTATATTGATGCACACAGGAGTGGACAGCCTTTGAAACCTTTAGCCCTTCTCTTTCGTCATAGTTGCGTTGCCACCACCCAAAACGTGACCAGTACCTGATAAATAGAAGCGTGCCGGTATCAAAGCAGTCAGCAACATGGTCTTATATAAATGACAATAATAATAGTAACGATAATTAGCCCTTGCGGATACAAGTGTGCACTAGCTTATGGGCGTCATTGTATACTTACAACGGTTTGACGGCCCTGATTGGCACAGCTTTATTACCCGTAGACAATGATAAGAGAAGACTAATAAGAAAGCGAGTTATATAGTGTTAAAGCTCGGAGAAAAAGTTCATTTATAAGCCCGTAGTCAGAGGATGACTAACGAAACATATCTGTTCATAAATGGTTAAACTATGGAATTGAGTTACGTGGCGGCTAATCCCAATGAAGCAGGTACGAGGTGATGGTATTCTGGGGTGGATGCTTTCATGTCAAAACAAGGTTCACTGGTCAGCAGACGTCTTCTGATGCCTTTGTGATCGTATTAACCGGTAGTGGTAATGGTAGAGAAGGCAAAGAGGCTTACTCAGGAATGTCTTCGAAGAACTTTCTAAAAGAGCAAGAAAAGGCGTTTGTTAATATTTCATGTTTTGCGCGAGACTCCCAAAACACTTAGGACTGCCGAAACATTTCACCCATAAATCATTATTATAGCTGAGTGTCTGAATCTCACGCCACACAAGCGCAGTATCACACCAAGATATTCTTTCTGAATGGTAAACTGCTCACGACTTTCATTA